TTATATAATTATACTAATATATATATTAATTATACTAATATTATATAATTATAAGATTTGGGAATCAGACTTGGGTTTTGGACAAAACTTACCAAGTTACTAAGGACTGGAGGAATGCTAAATTTTTAGACATCATTCCAAAATTTTAATTCCGATAGTAGTGAACTAAACATGAATCATGGGATTTATTCCATAATTTCATTCCGAAACCCTTTTACCAAACGCCCCCTAATAGTTTAGTCAACAATGCTACTTCCATAGGCAATGAAACTTAGAGCTCCTAATATGTACTGGCCAGCACTGAGGTACATGTCCTGCTAAAACATGAATGACTTGGATTATGTAACTTATGTTTGATTTGCATATTATTTACCTCCTGAACCTATAATACATTATGAACTTTGAGCAAATTATCCTCATTATTACAGTAGACCCAAAAAACAAAAGAGTTAAATAGATAATAAAAAATTTTTTGACCCACAATTTAGTTACTGATATTAGTGGACAAGCTGGTGCGTAGCACAGTCAAACCCAAGCAAGTACTGATAAAAGAAGAAATGCATATAAGAATGGAAAAGCAAACCCTCACATATACTGATAAGGCAACTGTCTAATAATTCAAACAAAGTTACCTAGCTATTATACTAATGCCCTCTGCACTACTGCAGGGGATTAGTTTGACGTAAGTCAGGATACTCCTATATTAGAAAAAAAAAAATCATACTAATGCCCCTATTTGACAGAAAAGGTACAAAAAACAGAACCGATGGGGTAACGGTAACATATCACAAGCAAGATAGTACCACCGTTCTTACCACACATTTAAAATTCCTAAGCAAGGAAAAAAAAAACATAATATAAATAAAACTGCTATTCATCAATGCTACAAACGGCCAAAAAACTTTCATTCACAACTTTTTCTCACATATAGACGCAAACAGCAGTATTTCCAATAAAACAAACACTTATAATAAAATAAAATCTAAATAAAACAAACCCAGCCATAATCTCCTTACATTAAAAAAAAAATCAGAACATTACAGTCGAAATAAAAACTCCACTATTATCATAACACTAAAATCCTCAAACAAATTACTCTATCGGCAAAACAATTACAAGCATAAAATCCTCTACTCAATCCAAAATCGAGACAGTGTTCAACACGACAATCAGTGGAAGCCACCACGTGAATGTTAGCCTCCTAAGCACACGAGTAGAGAACACCAAGTGAAGAGTAGACTTGTGAGGAATTTCATAGTCTTCAATAGTGCGACCATCCTCAAGATGCGTACCAGCAAAAACCAACCTTTGCTCGTTCGGTGGGATTCCTTCCCTAGACAGAATTTCTTCCTTCACGTTCTCGATGGTAGCAGAACCCTCCAACACCAGAGTAATGGTATTCCCTCTCAAAGTTTCCACAGATATTTCCATTCTTCCCCTCCACCTCATCACCAACTGAAGGGTTGACTCCTCCTGGATGTAATAATCTGCAAGAGTCCGACCATCCTCAAGCTGTTTACCAGCCAAAATCAACCTCTGGTCAGCCAGTGGGATCCCTTCCTTATCTTGAATTTTCGCCATGACATTGTCGATGGTATCAGAACTCTCCACCTCCAGAGCTATGGTCTTTCCAGTAGGAGTTTTCACGAAAATTTGCATTCCACCGCCAAGCCTGAGCACCAAATGAGGGATAGACTCCTTTTGAATATTATAATCGGCAAAAACATTGTCTGGGGGAACACCCTCCTTGTCTTGAATCTTAGCCTTGACATTGTCAATAGTATCAGAGCTTTCAACCTCAAGACTGATTGGCTTACTAGTGTCAGTGCTCTCAGCTTTCGCGGAGATCTTCATCTGTTAGGGGGAAAAAATGAAACAAAAAAAAAAAAGCCAAAGCCGATCAGATCTAATCAAATTCAAATCTTTAAACCCAAAATTGCCAGCACAAATACCAAAAGATAAATAATCGGAATTGCTAGCCAAACAAAAAACTGTAATCCCTCAACCTCGATCAATGTTAACCATTAGATAATGCTAAGCTGTGACCATATACCAGCTAATTGAATGTATAATAGTCAGTCACATTTAGCAGCAGCTAATTGATTGTAATAAGTAGATAGTTAGTTGGTTATGATAGTAGTTAATTACTTAGCATCGCTGAGGTGGCAAGGTGGTTAAAGGCGGTTACTTCTTAATTCATTGATAAAATAAGTAACAGCAAGGGAAGGCAATTAAGAAAGCTAGTGAAAAAGAAACATCACTTATCAATATAGTACAATTCCTTTATTATTGTAACCTTTCCTATAACTCTCCTTGATTATCAATATAGTACAATTCCTCCTCCCTATTCCTCGACGGACATTCTCCGTTAACTGGAATTGGGAATTGGGATCTTCACTACCTTTGCATCACAAAACAATTTAGATTGTCAAAGAAGGAAAGATTACCTTTTGATGGCAGAATTTGAGAGAAGATTGATGAAGAAGAAGATGGGTAGATTAACGAGTGAGAAGTGAAGCTGAGAGACGCCCCTATGGATATGCTAGTATATTAAAAAGAGGCTAAAGAGGTACTGTTGTCAGCACTGTTGATTGTCAGAGTGTTAATTTCGTCCCCTTTTCATTACGCAGAACCAACACGCAACGCGGTGGTATGTGCAATGGAACTCCGGCGTTGCTTGTGCGGTGGGTGGAAAGTGGGATGAACTTCCTACCGATGAAGAAACACAAATGAAGCATTTCCATTCATGTACACCTTCAACGATCACAGCCCTTAAATCAGTGGTTTGAACTTTTAGCAAAACAACAATGGAAACTTCGGTTTGCTTCTAAGGTGGAAAGTGGGATGAACTTCCCACCGTAGGCAGAAAGCCAATTAGAAGTACAGTTAACTTCGGTTGCTTCTACGTGGGGTGGAAAGTGGGATGAACTTCCCACGAATGTAGCACACAAATGAAGCATATCCATTCATTTACACCTTCAACGATCACAGCCCTTAAATCAGTGGTTTTGAACTTTTAGCAAACAACAATGGAAACTTCAGGGTTAGTTCTAAGGTGGAAAGTGGGATGAACTTCCCACAGTCGGCAGAAAGCCTCTTAGAAGTACAGTTGCTTCTTCGATGGAAAGTGGCATGAACTTCCACTTTTTTCCAAAAAAAGTCCCAGTTGTGTCGAACTTTCTATTTTTGGAATGGAATATTTACGAAATCTCCATGAATAGGATCAACCCCTACTCCATGGGATTTACATAAGGTTCCTCTTTAAATTAAAAAACTCCTGATAGGGTTTAATTGATCCATGATTTATGTTTTATCTTTCGATTGGAAACTAGGAATAGACGGACTTTCTATAGGACCTATTTTACTAATGGGATTCATCACCACTTTAACGACTTTAGCAACTTGGCCATTTACAGGATTCTCGATGATTTAATTTCCTAATGTTAGCGATGTACAGCGCTCAAATAGGATTATTTTCTTCTCGGAACCTTTTTACTTTTTTTTCATCATGTGGGAGTTAGAATTAATTCCTGTTTATCTACTTCTATCTATGTGGGATGGAAAGTGGGATGAACTTCCTCTTTTTTTCTAGACATGATAGACCTACTCTTACTCTATATTAAGGGAATGGGAAACCTAAAGAGATCTAAGAAAAATTCGGAAAGAACTGAATCACCACTCATTCATCTAAATCTCAAATAAAATTTTAAAACTCTTTTAGTAGCTAACTACTCTAGGAGTAGTTGGTTGGGATATAACTTCCCACTGTAGGCAGAAAGCCTTTTAGAAGTAAAACTCAGCACGAGCATTTGTGTCCATATTTTTGCGGCCCAATTGAGAGAAGGTAACTGGCAAAGGCTGTTACCATCTTAAGGAGCTTAGCAAATACCTATATGAATTGGATTGGGTCGTTAAATGAATAAAGAATGTCCCAAATAGGGCAATGGGTAAAAGTCATTATTAATTTGAAGCCAGAATTTTTAGGTTGGGAAAAAAACTTGTAAGTAATAAACTTGTTATTCGATGAGTATCATTTATAGAATTATATAGTTGTAGTGTATTTCCTTTTTGTTTCTACTTTTTTCTTGATTATCTAGTCTTAAATTAAGTTTCTTTATCAACAAGGTCATCCTTAATGATGATTTTGTTGAAACAATGATAGCAATAAATTATATTAAACAGAATGAGGAAGTTTTGTATTAAATAAGAATTAATCTTTGCACTCTAGTTTCGAGCGCTTTAGACAAGATGACAAAAGCAAGTTTTTCCATTAGTCAGCTTGTTTTTTCTTGGATTTCCATTGATGATGAGCCATCATCATCATCATCATCTTCTCTTTTAAACTTGATGGTTGTTTTGCAGTTGCACTGATCTTTGCCATAGGCATCAAGGAGAATGATGTTAGAGGAGAATTTGTCACTATTATGTGTTTGAAGGAAGAAAACTGGAGGTGGGATTTTGTGAGAATTAAGAAAAGTTGGAATCGGTTGGGAGGATAGAGTAAGTTTAGTTTGAGCAAGAAAAAGGTTGGGTTTGCTGCTATTGTTGTGCCACCATAGGATGAAATTAAAGTTAGTTGTTCTTGTAGTTTTGAGGGGTTTTAGGCAAAAAGACAAGGGAAGAGGTTGATGAACGAAGAGTTTCAACTATAAAGCTGTACAATACTTGACCATAGTGGAATAGATGTGCTCTATTGAACTATTTGGCTTGGATTAGATTGGACCGTACTCTTACTGGATCTAATCAAGATTGATTCTTTGTTTCAAAAAGAAAAAGAAATTAAATCAGTGTGATGCTTGATTAGATATTCGACTCAATCAGCAACTTGATTCATCATGTTTCAAAAAGGCAGAGATAGGCTTACAAGGGTCGTCCGATTACATACTGTACATCATTGTACTCCCTGGTAAGCTTCTTCTTTTTTTTTCCGGAAATGATAGAAGTTTTTATTTCTACAAATAGAGAAATTACACTATTCGAGCAAAGGCTCAAGTTTTTCTTTACAAAAGTGTACTGAGACACTGAGGATCGAAGAATTCCTCATCAAAATGTAAATGCATTGCCTGCTTACTCAGTTTATGACTGAGACAATTAATGCTATGATTAGCGGACTGAAAATCAAATGAGCATATCGTAAACATTAAGCTAAGATCTGTTATGTATTGTATGTGGGCTGCTAGTAGCATGTTACAAGAAACTTGACCGTTGAGAAGCTTGTAAACCTGAAGGCTTGGTGTCTGAAGTTTGATACTGAAGCAGCCACGTTCCATAAGCTTGCACAGTGCTAACCGTATGGCCACAAGGTTGTCTAGTATTGGTGATCCGGTGCTTCTTTCTTTCATCAGCCACACTGCACTTAGTTGATGCAATCTGTTTTCTGCTGTAATGCCGATTCCCATGTTCAAACCCTCGAGATGCTGTCCCACATGTACACTAATGGTCAGTGTGTTTGTATCTTCGACCACCCTCTGCTCTTGTACATCCGCTATATCTGTTTCTGAGATGCTCACTTGCTGTTCAGGCTGTTGAGATTTCAAATATTCCTCCCATTCCATAACTACCTTTGTAATCACTTTCATTGGATGTCTCTCTTTGTCTTCGAACTCTACTGTATTCCTGGCTTTCCAAATTTGCCAAAGAATGTCCACTGTCAATGCTATATGTTCCCTTCCTTCCTTCCTATCTGTGACTTCCATTAGTGTACTCCACCATTTCCTGAAGTCGCTTGTAAACTACTGCAGACCATCCCATTGCAATGGAGCCATCTTCCAGATCATCCTTGCAGTCCTGCAGTGGAAGAAAATGTGCTCCACTGTCTCACTGTTCTCACCACATTGCTTACACATTAGGTCTCCCTTTCCCGTTCTCCGAAAGATTGCCTCTCGACCTGGTAGCACTTGATGCAGGCACTTCCATAAAAATACCTTGTGTTTGTGCTTTACTGGAAGACCCCATAGCTGTTTCCAGATTTTGCCATTTCCCCCTGACCAGCTTGTTTCCCCCTTGCCGTTCAATTGCACTATAGGCTGCGTGGTAAGACTTGTGAGTGCTGCATATGCCGAGCTGACTGTGTAGTTTTCTTTTTTGGTATGAGACCAAAGTAGCAATCTAGTCTCCCTGTCAAGCTTATAGGTGTTCTGAGTATATGAGCAGCTTCGTGTGAACTAAAGAGCCTGAAGATGAGAGTTGATTTCCACCTAAAGTTGGCTATCAATTCACTAACTGTTGTGATATTGCAACCAAGGGGTTTTGAAGATTCAATCTTACCGTCCTTTCCTTCCAACAACCAAGCATCTTCCCAAATTCTGGTGTTGTTCCCATTTCCAATCTGTTTCCTAGCTCCGCATTGCACCACCTCTCTTGCGGACATCAAACTTTTCCATATCCATGATGCATTACCTTTGATTTCGTAGTTGAAGAGGGTTGTTTTGGGGTAGTACCTTGCTTTCAAAACTTTGCTAAGCAAAAGGTTGGGGCATGTGAGGAGCCTCCAAATCTGTTTGCCTAGCAAAGCTTTATTAAAGCTTTGAAGATCTTTGAAGCCAAGACCACCAGCTTGTTTTCGTTGACAATGTCTTCCATGAAACCCAATGCACTTTCGTTTGACCGTTCTCCACCAAAAATCTTGCCATCAAAGAGTTGATGTCTTTGCATAACCTCACGGGCAGCTTAAAACATGACATGGCATAAGTTGGCATCGCCATAATAACAGCCTTCAGCAACACCTCTTTCCCTGCTTGGCTAAGCTGTGTATTTCTCCAGTTGAGGATTGATTTTTGGCATCTGTCTTTAATAAATCCAAAGATTTGCATTTTGGTTCTTGTGATTACCATTGGCAAACCCAAATACTTCCCCTGTTTCACCACTTTAACCTGTTGTAGACTGCTGCAAATTTCTTCTTGTACTTGTTTCGCCACATTTTTGCTGAAGAAAACTGAAGATTTTTCCATGTTGATCATCTGTCCGGATCCTTTTTCATATGTTTGCAGAATTTTCATCACTTCTTGAGCTTGCTTCTTATCGGCTTTGCAAAAAACTAACGAGTCATCGGCAAAGAAGAGGTGAGTTAGTGAAGGTCCGGTTCTACTAATCTGCATTCCAGTCAATTTTTGCTTCTTTGTGCCTAAGCCAGCAAGTTGAAAAAACCTTCGGATACTAGTAGAAACAAGTAAGGCGACAATGGGTCTCCTTGTCTAATCCCTCTTGACGGTATCATATATCCTTTAAGCTCACCATTTATGTTGAAGGAAAAAGAAACTGTTGAGATGCATTCCATTATCCAGTTTATCCAGGTATCACAAAAACCCATTTTAACCATGATTGCCTTCAGATATCCCCACTCAACCCTGTCATAAGCTTTAGACATGTCTAACTTTAGAGCCATAAACCCATTAGATCCTTCACTTTTGTTTTTTAAGTAGTGCAAGTACTCATGAGAGATAATAACATTGTCCAAAATCTGTCTTCCAGGTATAAAAGCAGCTTGGTTTTTGCTAATGCAGTTTCCCAAAAGTTTTTTCAATCTGTTTGCTAGGATTTTGGAAATGGTTTTATAGAGTACATTACAAAGGCTTATAGGCCTAAACTGCTTAACCTCAGTGGGATTATCGACTTTGGGAATGAGTGATGTGGTTGTGTGATTCAAAGCCTTTAACATATAACCCGAATGAAAGAAACTTTTGATTGCTGAAATGATGTCATTTTTAAGAAATTGCCAATATTTCTGAAAGAAAATTGGTGTCATGCCATCAGGTCCCGGGGTTTTGGTTGGATGCATAGAGAAAAGTGCATCTTTAATTTCTTTTTCCATGATTGGTTGGGTAAGAACAGTGTTCATGTGATCCGATATTGACTGTGATATTCCCTCCAGAACCAACTCAGTTGGGGTACCTACCTTGCTAGTAAAAAGCTTGTTGTAATGTTTAACAACTTCTTCTCCTATTTCCTCCTCAGATGTGGTCCAAGTTTTGTCCTCCCTTTGTATTCTTTGCATTTTATTTCTCTTCTTCCTACCTTTAACACTAGAGTGGAAAAAATGAGTGTTTTTATCCCCTTCCTTCAACCATTGCACTCTAGATTTTTGACTCCAAAAGAGTTCCTCTTCATCATATGCCTCCTTTAATTTCCTCTTGAGCTCCTTAGTAGTAGCCTTTTTGTTTTCGCAATCCTGTCCTTGAAGGTCTAGCATTTGTTTTTTCAGGCCATCAAGCTTGCTTCTAGAGTTGCCTTGGAAGGTATTTTTCCATTTCAAAAGAGCCACTCTGCAATTCGCAATTTTCCTATGCACTTTGAACATATTCGAACCAGTTTGTGCCTCCTCCCAAGCATGCTTTATGACTTGTTCCACCCTCTCTTTTTTCATCCATCTCTTATCAAAAAAGAATCATTTTTTTTCTTAACCTGTATAGGATTGGAGTCTATTAACAACATACTATGGTCTGATCCCAGGGTCTCAATGTGTTTGACTATGGTTCTGTCGAAAATCTGGCTCCAATCATGACTTACCAAGGCTCTATCTAATCTTTGCTTTATTTCCCCTTCATGAGACCAATGGTTACTCCAAGTCCAGGGGTTACCTTCAAATCCAATGTCTATGAGTCCATTATGTTCAATGAAGTTGTTAAAATCTTGGAATGACCCCTGCTCTCTTTTCCTACCTCCCCACTTTTCCTCATTTGAGGTAATGTCATTGAAATCACCTGTGATGATCCACTTATGACCCCATAATACCTTTCTTCGTTGCACCACTTCCCATTGCTTCCTCCTAATTTGATCATCAGTACTAGCATAAATGCCAATGAACCACCATTCCTCATTCTTTTCTGTATCCTTGATCTGAAATTCCATAGTGAAAGCCGTAGTTTTAATGTCCATCACTATCACCTCATCGTTCCACAAAACCATCATGCCACCTGCTTTATTCATAGACTCCACCACTTCACATTGATCAAATCTTAATTGTCTTCTTATCCTTTCCATGAACTGTAATCTGTTTTTGGTCTCACTTAAGAACACCATATGTGGGGAGAGGAGGTTGCAAGCCTCCCTCAACTGGGGAATTATCAAGGGGCTCCCAGCACCTTGGCAATTCCACACCAGAGCCTTCATTTATCCATGGGTGACCAGATTAGGCTGGTCACCACCCCTTCAGCTTTGCTCACAGAGATCTCTTGATCAGTCCCCAATTTTCCTTTTTTTGCCACTATTTCAGTCACTTCAACATCGATCATATCCTCATCCAGCAGCTGCACTTTCCTTTTCCCTGTGGCCTGTTTACTTGGCTTTTGTTTCTGACTCCCTTTGTGTGATTTCCTGATTATTAGTGGAGTATTCAACTTGCTTCTTGTGCGTGTAGATCTTTTGTGGTTGCACCTTTCCTCCCCCTCCTCTAGTTGAGCCTCCACTTGCTTGTTCTCCACTTCTACTTCCTTAGAAGATTGTTCCACCGACTTTTCCAGCACTACATTGAGCTGGCCTCCACACAATCTCGTTTCAAACTGTAGTTGCGCCTGCTTTGCTTTGTCATCTTTGTCATTTACCTGATTGACATCTGCTGTTTGCCCATGTTCCTCCTCAGCTGCCTGGTTCCTCTCTCTTAACTCCGTCTCACTGAACTTTGGAACCAGCTCACCATCTTTGAAGCCCCATCTTTTCTTATTTGGGGATATCTCATTTGCCTGGACAATCCCAACTGTTTGACCACATACCGTACTTGTATTCCCCTCCTCTGCTGCCTGACCCCTCTCACTCAGCTCCTTATCACTTGGTTTTGGGACCAATTCTCCCTCTTTGAAACCCCACCTTTGCTTGTTTGGGGAAATACTAGCAGCCTGTTTCCCTCTCCTTTCCTTCTGAGGCGACATATTCCCAACTCTTGCCCTCATCCATGGTCCAAATTGATTGTGTTGTTGGCCTTTACCCCCTACTATACTAGCTGAACAATTTTTCTCGTTGTGTCCAATTTTACCACTGGTATAACAGAAATCAGGTCCTCTTTCATATTTGAAGCTTAACCATTTCAGTTTTCCTTCCATTTTCACGGTAGTCCCTCTCATTAAGGGTTGTGAAATATCTGCCATGACTAACATTTTTATGTGCCTCCCTTCCTTCCCTCCACTTTGGGGTATAATCACTTCCCTTGTTCCATGAAAAACTGATGCTATCTTCCTCCCCACCTCCTTGGATAACCAGTGAACAGGAAGATTCCAAATTTGAATCCATAATGGTGCCATGTTAAAATCCGCTCCCTCCTCTTCAAAACCTTCAAACCATGGTTTAACCACTATAATCTGGTTATCAACAATCCATGGCCCTCCCTTGCAAATCCTTTCTCTATCTTTCTCGCTGGGTATGAAAAATTGAAATGTGTTAACACCAACCTCCACCACCCTTAATCCTTTAGGATAACCCCATGCTACTGTCACAAAGTTTCGCACTCCCACATAATTGATGATTTTCTCACCCATTATCTTTCCCACTAGACTTTCTTTACACTCCTTTACACTTGGGCCTACATCTCCTAAGTCAATCTCTGTTTCACCCCTCTCTTTGGTGGAAAGATCAAATCTTTGCAGAATTTCAGTTATTTCCTCAGCCATATGTCCTCGACTATGATTCAATAAGGGAATATCACAGAAACAAAACCAGTTGAGAGAATGGGACAGCAACAAAGATGGACTAACCACAACGTAACACA